GCACCGTTCACCACCACTCTCTGGGCCCAGCCCTCCAGCCAGTTCCTGACCCAGCACAGAGTGCCCCTGTCCAAGCCATGGGCTGCCAGCTTTTTCAGGAGTATGCTGTGGGAGATGGTGTCAAAGGCTTTGCTGAAGTCCAGATAGACCACATCCACAGCCTTCCCCTCATCCACCAGGCAGGTCACCTGATCATAAAAAGAGATCAGGTTGGTTAGACAGGACCTGCCCCTCCTCAACTCATGTTGTCTGGGTCTGCTCCATAGTTCTAAAGTTCTTTGTGGCTAAAGTTCTTTGACTCCAAACACATTTTGAATCCCATCACAACTCTTTGTTATATGTGCTATCCCTAGGTGCCAAACTTGGGAGTACAGCCAACAGTTTGCTAATACTGAGGCCACATAATGGAAGGACACTACGCAATGGTCATGCTTGAAGCAGGAGTCTGCCAGAAGGTGTAGCAAGACGAGCTATTTACTCTAAAGGACCAAAGTTTAAAAAAATATATCAAAATAAGAAAAGCCATGAAATGCAGTTATTTTGTGCAACATGCTTTCTTAATGTTCCCTCAACACTTTGTTCATCACCTAGAGCTGAGTCTTCCACTGGAAAACCTTAAAGAGAGACAAAAGTGAAATAACTACCAAGCTCACTGTTAAAACAACTGGAAGTCTTTTGGGGGCTACAAATTTTCATGCTGAAAGAAAACAAACACTGTTAAAACAATCTTGCATGTTTGGACAACTCCAGTTGCAGAGTTTCATGCTTTGACCATTTTATGTGGTTTGATGCTGTCTTTATCTTTCATAGTAACCATATGAAAAGAAAGTCAAATCCACCTATTCTCAAATATTTGAACTTCTACAATGTTTAGGTATTCTGCAGTTTGTTGAAAGCTGACTTAAAGTACAAGTTTCCTTACAGTCTAAAGTTATTAGGCAATTTATATGATTTACACTATTATTTAGAGCACTGCTTTCTTGTTGGGTGGAACTGAAATATATTTAATAATTTACATTCAATATTCATGACACCAAGTTGAAAGAAAATGCAACAGCACCAAATGAAAAGAAAATAATCTAACTTAAGTTTGTTCTCTAGTGCTTCCTGATTTTATGAATTAACATTAATTCCATTTCTTAAGATCTTAAGTCTTACAACCACAAAGGAAAAGAGTATATTATGATAAGGCTCCATTCTTTTCCCCCTTCATTTTTGGAAATTTTTGAAAGTGCTCTACCTACATTAATATACTTTTGGAAATGCTTATTCATTTTTTATCAGCAAATGCTCTTCATTCACCCCTCTGATGACACATTATTGTACGCGTCATGAGACAGGAAAGCACCATGTCCTGAAAATAAAAAATATTAGCACAGAACTGGAAGCTTGACCTTCAAGAGATACGAATAAAGAAACTACCTAAAGACAGTGCATAAACTAAAACTAAAGATAAAATCTTCAAAAAAAGGAGCTGAACATGATCAATATCCACTCCCTCTTCCTGCCACAAATATTATGAATTAAAAATCTTAAGATTGCAAAGATAAAACCAAAATGTGACTCCTTCTAGTTTGCCAGCCACTGTGACCTGCTTAGGTAGCCCTTTGCTCTTCAATAAGAGTTTAACACTATTTTGATTTTTTGATTGTTTGATCATTAGACTAACAGCTACAAAAAATATTAGATAGATTGTAAAGCCAAATAGAGCTCCACAGTCATTTTGTCCAACATCCTCTACTCCTTAAGTCATGGAATATTATCTCTTTACTCCTATAACCCAATTACTTTTGTTTGAATACTGCGAACTTTTCTTCAAATGTCCCAAGACTCAAAATAAAATTACAAAAGTTGGCCTAACAGCTCACAAATACATTCAAGTCAAGGAATGTAGGTTTAGACCGAGATGCATATATGGAACTCAGCCAGTTTCTCATTTTCATTTGACACATAAAACAGGTGGTCAGTGACCTCCTGTTTTCCTATCTAACCTCCTCCTTGGTTCTGGGCAAATATTATGCCACATATATTACACAAACAGACAAAGAAACTGGTAACATTCTCTATCAATGATTTATAGCTATGACCTAACCCTTTTTTAATAAAAAACAAAATATAATTACATTTTTCTAATTATTCCAACTTTGGAACAAAATTCATTTAGCAGCACAGATTATTAGCATGGCCCAAGAACATTATTCTTGATCCTCACAGAAGAAAATTGACAGCTTTAATTCTGGCAAATGGTGTTAAGGAATATAATTAATAGAGAATTCTATTCAGACACCATCCTTGCTAAAGCAAAATCCTCCTCGAGAAAAATGAATCTCTACAAAAGCATCATGTGATGTTGCAATAGGAGATAAAATCAGGTGACTGTAGTCCCTTTCCTTGAACTGAAATGGGTCCAGTAATAGCCAGAGTAACTGAAAACAAAACAACCTGCCCATTGTAAAAAGAGGACAAGATAATTTAATTAAGAAACAAAGGTTACTAAAGAGGACTTTTTCTAAAATGAAGAAAAACAATGAGTGTCAGAAAAATATACTAGAAGAGAAGCATGGTGTAGTGAACCAAATCCAACACAGAAAAGTGATGAAAGAAAAACAATTTTAAAAAACACCAGCTTGTGATTCAATAATTGCTCTTTTCTCTCCTTTAACTTGCCTGTCCATAAATTTAGGCTGCCCAAAGGATCTCCTGCCTCCATAAAATTTGGATTCTAAATGACGATTTTGCCATAATAAGAGCTGAGTGAGCTTAATCCTATATATACTACAGAGAAGTGACAGATGGAATTAAGTTAAGGAGCTGGAAGGAGACTTTTTTTATATACTATTAATGTTGCATTCATTTACAGTGGAAATTGCTGAAACGGAATTCCTTCACTTTTTACTGCAGCTGTAGAGTCTCAATATTTAACTACATTGCGGGGTTGTTTGTTTGTTTGTTTTTTAATTTCCCTTTGCAATATTTCAAAGTCTCCTCCTTTACATGTAAAATACCTGTTCGGATTAGTGTATCACTACACAATCTGAAGAGTTTGCCTACCTGTGCTCATTTGGTTTTCCACCATCCATGAAGACCTTCCATGAAGGCCACAGTTAGTATTTAAGCTATTCCACACCTCCATCATATAAATAATATAAGGCAGTCTTCATTAACCTAAATTATTTAGAACTGCCATAAAAGAAAATCTATTAATACCCAGCCTCCCTCTGCCTATTCAAAATGACCGGCTGTTTTGCACTGAAGACACATTGTAAACACTGTGTTTCAAACTAAGCTAGCTGGGCCCTTACAGATACATGGAGTTACAGCTCTGTAATAAATTGCACAAATAATAGAAACATCTGGAGTATAATCTCTTCTCTGAATTTTTTCCACCATGTAGAAGGAGCATATATTCAGCACTCATGCTCAAATACAATATTCAGGGTTAGCAGACAACAATGGAAGGAGAAAGGAGAGAGCTGATTTAAAAATAAGAAGAGAATCACTTGTGCATTATTCCTATATTTAATACTGGTACATAAAAGAATATGCAGAATATCCTCCAATGGAATCTGCAAGCACCTATTTCATTACTATTCAATTAGTAACTTGAGAGTCACAGATGGAATTCACTATGGAAACAGGAGTGATTATTATGGAGGCCAACCAAAGAAGAAGGGACATCTTCATGAGGCATCAGCTTCCTTCAGTTTCTCTCTTTTTCCCAAAACACCTTTCAATAACACTTTCAGTAAAACTCTTTTACTGAAAGAGTAGGATGGCACCTGAAAGTCCAGCTATTTGCAAATGTTACTCTGTTTTGTTTTGTTATCCTATTCATCTCACTGGAAAAGCAGTGAAGAACCTGTGCCAGTTCTGTGACTCTGCAGGACTGCAGGAAACATGTCGTTCTAGGCACACCTGGGGACACTCTTGTCTCTGGAATATGAACAGGGCAACTTCTCACTCTTTTCTAAAACTCATTGTCTTTTAGAGGCCACTTCAGCAAGCATGAACCTGGGACAATTGCTCCTCACCAAGGAGACTCTTCAGACCATTCCCTTCAAGGACTGTGTGCTAGCAGAGATCAAGTAAAGAGAATGATGGAGAAGTATTTTCCTGGCTCTGGTACCAGTTACACCAGGAGCTCTGTACAAACCATTAACTAAAGCCAGCAGTGTTTCGAGATAATAATGCTAGAGTTGTGGGGCTCAGAGCAGCCCAGAGTAGGGAAACCAGCTCTGCAGTTGCATGGAGCAACAGCAGCTCCATCCAGATCCACCTCCTCCAAGGTCACCTCGACCACAGAGCTTCTTGCAGGCCCGTCTCTGATGACGGCAAATGCGGCAGCACGTTTTTTTGCTGCTCCCCGCCCATATTTCCCAGCGGAGCTCCCCGGGGCGGAGGGACCCCGGACCATGGCTCCGCTCGGGGTGGGCGCTGCCGAAGGGCGCGGGGATGCGGCGAAAGGCGGCCCGGCAGCCTTGTGCTCTCCGCCTCCGGCGGGGTATGCGCCGCGAGCGGCCGCGGGGTCAGCGGAGTCTGCGGCCTTGTCTCCCCCAGAGCATCGCGGCCCTGTACCGGCCCGGCCTCCGCGCCCGCCTCCCTCCCTGCCCGCGCTGTCCAGAGCCGGTCCGCCCGGCGGGGGCAAGCGGTGGCAACGGCGGAGTTGTGCGCGCCGTCCGTTCCCTGCGGTGGTGCTTTGGTATCCGAGGCGCGCGCTGCGCCCCGACGGGTCCGTCCGTTGCTATCCTCATCCAATCCATCCCATCGTCCGTCCATATCCGTCCATGCCTCGTGGCGGCGGCTCGTGTGTGTGCTGTGACGACAGTGCGGCGCGCACAGCGCGGGCAAGCCGCCCCCTCGCAGCCCTGCCGGGGCCACGGCGGCGCGCCGCGGCTGAGGCCAGCCCCTTCTCCGTCCCCCGGAGCCCTCCCCAGTGGGGGCGACCTCAGCGGCCTCGCTGCTCGTCCTCCTCCTCCCTCCTGGCGGGTAGGTTACGTTACCTGGTCTCTAGCTCGGGCTGGATCTAATCTCGCGGCCGCCGCCGGCTCCTCTCCCTGCCGCGGGTGCGAGTGGGGGAATTAATTTATTTATTTTCCATGAGGTGCCCTCGGCAGCGGGAGAGCCCGGGCCGGGCGGCAGGGAGGGAGGCCTGGGTGCTGCTGTGGGGCCGACGGGCCCCCCTGTCTCCGGGAGTCGCTGCGGGAGCGGCCGAGACTCTTCAGCAACCGGGCGCGCGGGGGCGAGGGGCTGCGCGGACGGCAGACGCTCTCTCGGGCTGCCCACGCCGGGCCCCGGCGGGGGCCGGCGGGGCGCGAGGGCGCCGTTGGCCGTGAGAAGGGGATGAGCCCAGCGCCAAGCGGAGGTGGGGTGGCGAAACGACGGGACGGGCCGTGACCGCCGCTGTAGCGCGCTGGTGCGCGCGGGGCGGGTCAGGGCCGGGCCCCCGCGCCACCTGGAGCCAGGCGTGAGCCCTCCCCGCCCACCTGCCCGCCCCGCGGCACCCAGAGCCGCTACATTCTCCAGAAATTCTGTCCTTAAGGCTAAAATCCTGTAGTGAAAGAGATCAACATAATCATATAATTGCATTATTAAAACCTTTACCGTCATGCCTATTCTTATGCATAAAGGTTGCACATTATGTACAATATTTAGAGTAGTGTAAGGAGGCTGGAATAATTGTGGTCGTTGATATTGTGTTGCAAAATGTAAAAAAGGAAATGTGATTATCATAGTATATATTTAAAAAAAAACTTTATTGCGTGCACTTTGTTAGTGAGAGCTTTATGAATAGGATCTTTACAGGCATGTAAAGGAACTGAGGCTGCCTGTGTATGGATAAGAGGAGAGAGAACTTGGGTATGTTCTAGTTTGCTGAGCTGCTAGTGAAGGAAGGAAAGACTTGAACTTGTGCAGTTTATTTTTTTTTGTCTGTTTATTTTCCATTAATAACATTTGAATCCCTTAGCTAGCACCAGCCACAAAATGTTTAGAAAAATAATCTGGAAAGGAGCATGTCACCCTTCAAAAAAGTGGCAACATGAATGGCAATGCCCATTACACATTCAAGAATCCATCCACAGAGGACTGCCATCTGAAGCATGAGTTAACAGAAATCAGGTTTCTTTGGCTCCTTTTCTTATGAATCTGTTTCCTTTTATGTGAGAAGTGTTATTAATTATTCTCTGTTTTAAACTATAATCATTAAACCTGTAGATACCAGTAATGTAACATTTTATCATTCCTTCATTCTTTAGAATGTTATTGTTATAATTTATGTATTGTCTGTTTCCAGGGCAAGTTTTTCAGATTCAGGAGAGAATACTTTGTCACGTGTTTGTAAAGCAGCCAGGTCTCTACAGTCTCTGGGCAGATTCTGGCACTGTACTCATAAGGAGCAGTAAGTAGTTAACAGGTAGAGACAGCAAACACTGTTCTTCCTGAAACAAACTGAACAGTTTGGAATAATTTTTGTGACATTGCATAAACTAAGTAATACTTGAGTTACATATCTGAGTCCAGGGACATTTTTAGAAACAAACATGGTGACTGACAGGGCAGCTTGTGTAAGTCACAGTTACATTAATTTAGGTAGCGGTCTCAGTCATCTCTTATGCAAGTGTATGAAAGGAGCCTGTGTCCAGCATCCTCACAGGCACAGTATCTGTCCGGGCAGCAGGTTGCACTACAGGCTTTGGGGTCCACTGAGGGGCCCACTAAGACCCACAAGGGACCCACTAAACCAGTTGGAGGAAAGAACAAATGCTAAGACGTGACTCTTGGGCATGCAAGCAAAGAAAACTTGGGTACCAATGCCCGTGGCCAAACTCTTCTAGGCAGGCCCACAATTACAGGATTAAAAATGTGTAAATTATGATGAAATCTGATGAAAAGTCTTTCATAGAAAAACTACTAGTGCTGAAATTATCCCCCCCCCCAAGCTGGGAGGAAGTGTTGATCTGCTAGAAGGCAGGAGGGCTCTTCAGAGGGACCTGAACGAGCTGGAGAAATGGTCTGATTCCAACGGGATGAGGTTCAATAAGGCCAAGCACTCTAGTCACAACAACCCCTGCCTGCTACAGGCAGGAGAGCAGCCAGGTAGAAAGGGACCTGGGTGTTTGGATTGACAGGAGGCTGAACATGAGCCAGCAGTGTGCCCAGGTGGCCAAGAAGGCCAATGGCATCCTGGCCTGGATCAGGAACAGTGTGGCAAACAGGTCCAGGGAAGTGATTCTTCCCCTGTACTCAGCGCTGGTGAGGCCACACCTGGAGTACTGTGTCCAGTTCTGGACCTCTCAGTTCAGGAAGGATGTCGAGGTGGTGGAGCAGGTCCAGAGAAGAGCAACAAGCTGATGAATGGACTCGAGCACAAGTCCTCTGAGGAGAGGCTGAGGGAGCTGGGGTTGTTTAGCCTGGAGAAGAGGAGGCTCATGGAGATCTCATCACTCTACAACTACCTGAAGGGAGGTTGTAGCCAGGTGGGGGTCTGTCTCTTCTCCCAGGCAACCAGCACTAGGACAAGAGGGCACGATCTTAAGCTGTGCGAGGAGAGGTTTAGGTTGGATATTAGGAAGAAATTTTTTATAGAGAGAGTAACCAGACATTGGAATGGGCTGCCTAGGGAGGTGGTGAATTTTCTGTCCCGGACGTTTTTAGGATGAGACTGGANTAAGCTGTGCGAGGAGAGGTTTAGGTTGGATATTAGGAAGAAATTTTTTATAGAGACAGTAACCAGCGATTGGAATGGGCTGCCTAGGGAGGTGGTGAATTCTCCATCCCTGGAGGTTTTTAGGATGAGACTGGATGTGGCACTTAGTGCCATGGTCTAGTAACTGCGGTGGTGTTGGATCAAGGGTTGGACTTGATGATCTCAGAGGTCTTTTCTAACGGGGCTGATTTTATGATTTCCTCCACTGGTATGCCTTAACTATTATAAATATATACTTTTATAGATATAAATGTATAGTTTTTTAAATTTATAAATTTGTCCTATGTATGTTATAGACAATAAATTTTACACAGTGACATCTCTGAGAAGGTAAATCACATACACAGTATTTGCTGTACTACATAGTACATGCTGCATGCTATGTAAAACAGTACTACATACAATACAAATTGATGTATGCTGTACTTACAAATAATTTTTGATTTATTATACTGCATATATTAACATCTATATAGATTATATTAGTGTATGTTAATGATTACATTGACAAATACATTTTCTCTATATACATATGTGCCTCGTAGCTTCTTTCAATACCTCTTTTCAGAACACCCTTTTTAGGAAAGGTGTATTGTGGTGGTTTGAAAAACCTTTTCTCTGAGGTAGTAATGGTTTGCCCCACTGATAATACTGGGCCAATCAAAAACCCACATGTGCCCTACGGAAATTACATACCCACAGAAACGGAAGAGAAGGTGGTGAAGATAGTTTAGAAGGTAGGTAGCCATGATCTGAGCCAGGAGGAAGCAGGGGGCCAGTGAACCCCTCTGGGGGCCAAGGGCCCCCAGCCCCCAGCTGAGGCTACGGGAGACCCGGCTCCTGTAATCAAGAGCTGGAAGAGTTTCCTTACTGTCAGCAGCAGCAGAAGACATTGAAAGCGGCAGCGGAGCAGTCCTCAACAGAGACAACAGTGGCTAAAAGCCAAAAAGATAACCAGTAGCAGCAAGATAACGTGAAGCCGGCTGAAAGACACGGAGATGTTCCTGCAGGAGGGAGAGCTGGCAACAAAACAGAGGAAAACTCAACAGGGCTGTTTTGGGGTAAGACTGTATCACTTTCCCAAAACTCAGAGACCTCCTGAAGAGGAGGGGTGGACTTCTAAACCCTTGGGGAGTCCCAAAATGCAGCAGCAGCTAGAGAGGGAGAAAAGAGCTGAAAAACTTGGAGTTATCCTGAGAGCTGAACCAGAACAGAATGTGGAGGAGGTGGCCTTGCCCTCCACTGCTGCTACCATGCTGGCAAGCTGAGACAGAGCAGAGGAGCTCTGGTAAGACTGAACTGAGAGCTGCCTTAAATGCTCTAATCCAAGAGAAGTGAAGGTCTCCAAGGAAAATCCCCTGAAGGGGAGGGGTTGGAACTTCCACAAAGTAAGAACAAAAATCCTGACTGCCATACTTAAATCTACTGCCTTAGAAAAATGAAGGACACTAATCAGTGCCACAAAAAACTGAAATGAAGGAACTGTGGCCTGAGAAAGAGTTTTCTCTTTTCTTCTTAGACTTTTATTGAAGGAAAAGAGGAATTTAATTTAATGTAAATATATATATGTATGTAAATAAACATTTGTAAATATTTTCCCCTTACTCCAATAATGAATAGTTGTGTTTTGTCTGAAAACTCTCCACATGAGGTGAGGAAGATATCAAGTCCATGCTATTACTAAACCCTCTCACAGGGGCAAATTGTGGGAAGGGGCTTGAACTTAGAAATTGGATTCTTGGGAGTGTCAAACCACCACATGTATGCATCTTAATTTCCTTACTGTTGCAGTTTTGTGTTTTCTAGTCCAGGGCAGAGTCTGAACATAAGCTGGATGCATTTATAACTATGTTATTCTAGCCTACAGTCTACATTAAGTTCAGGTACAGCTTAGTGCCTGCAACTGCTTAAGGTCATAAAAATTACCATGAGCCCTCAGACTAGAAGTTAGTGTATGAATTTATTTTTTATTCTGACTTTGATTGCAGTGACATCAGGTTTTTAAAGTGAATACAGTCCTCGGTGAGTGCCTGTGGAATGAGGGCTCTGAAGTAATTTGATTCCCTGTTGCAGACTGAAAAAAACCTGTTGTTATTCTGCATCTTTCCAGTGTTGGTGCACCTTTGCTGTAGGAAATCCATTATTCAAAGTAAAAATGTTCATAGCTACCCTCTTAGGGTAAGAATTAAAAATGTTTGAGTGATAGCAATTAATAATTTCTGAGTGAATTTCTGGAAGCTACCAAAAGTTCAGGGCTGGTACCTGTGTAAAGGTATCTCTGTATGGGAGCGTGGCATTATGTATTTTTCAGTGAAATAATTGTAAAGAAGAAATTAAACCACTTATCATATACACGTGTGTCTGTGAAAAGAGTCACACATCTAGTTATTCATTTTTTCCATTCAATAGTGTGATAGATTTCTGTGAGGCTGCATGTTAAACACTCTCTTGTTTTGGTTGATAACAGCTTGAGGTCTTTTAAGTGATATTAACATAAAAGATTTGTAAGTGTTAGTTTTCACTAGAGAAAAAAAAATGCTGCAAGCATTGAATATGTGATGGTATTTTCTGTAAGTCTATCCACTTATTGTTTGGGTAAGTCCTCTACTAGAATAGTCCATTTTCCCCACATGCCACTCATTTTAGTTGAAGCAAGACTTTTACAGGTCATCCACTGAGCTTAGATTCCTCTGCTACATCTCAGGTTATGTCTTGCTACAGAGTTTGAATCTAAAGGGTGCATGTTTATGGTTGTGTATTGTTCTAGCCTGCAGAGGATTATATTCTGATTATGTTCTGTTTTTTTCTGGATTGGTTTTGGTTCCATATATACCCAACTCAAACTTCTCTCATGTCCATAAACAGGTTGGTGGGGTGCACATTCTTTTCATTTCTATCTGATACACAGGACAGTATCATGAATACTATATTGGTGAATCATATAGGCCACCTTCTGTGAGCTTTATATTAACAACTAATAATCATCAACCTGTGTCTCACTCCACCCCCATTCATACACACAAATAGCTCTCTCATTACCATAAAACTTAATCCTAGTCCTGTTAGTGAATGAGATACATATACTTCAAGTTTTGTGATAAGATTCATTTAACTATGATTAGAGTGTAGAATTCTAATGACAATATATAGCCAAAGTATGTCTTTCTATTGAGGTCAGTTTTCTCTATAACCATCAACCATGTCTATTCTAGGCCCAATAAAATTCTTCTCTTTTACAGCTCACGGTGACAGAGAACACAGCACATTGTAACTACAGGACTTTCACTCGACTGTGAAAGATCTCTATCAAGCCTCACAGAGAATTTGAGGCAGCTGGCAGTTATCAGCTGAAGCAGGTAGTCAGTAGAAGTGCAAAAGATAAATAGATAATTGAAAACCAATCTGGAAACCTGGGAGAGATAATAAGCCTCTCTTCTAGAAGGGAGCCAACAACTCAGGTAGGTCACTGATGAAATCAACTCCCAGATCAGGTTGTGTCTAATACTACTGAAAATACAGTGGCAGTTCATGCCTATCATGACTGAAGTAGTAGGCAAGTTGTTGGAAATGTGGTTTGGCGTATTCAGTTATACAAATCAATATTGCACTAGAATGAAGAAGGATCATACTGCTGAAAGACAGGTGACCAAAATCCTAGGAGCACCATGGCCCTCTGCTAAATTGCAGTTGCCAAAATAGAAAAGTAGTTCCACCCCCTTCTTACCCTCCATGCTGCTTTATCTGCCATGCAACCATTACATAGAATTCCTGCCATACTGACCGTAGTCCTCTGTGGGGCAAGTGATTACTTTTTCATGTGATTTCTATTTATATTAAGATAATGGAACTATTCATGTTTTCTCTACCATGAGCACAGAGAATAGAGGGGAAGGCTCATGTCTACAAGTAAAAGAATGTGTAGATCTTAGTCACTCCATTTTAAAAGTCTTAAAAACAATCTTTCTCTTCAAGTCACTCTTATGATTCTCAAATTCCTGTCTGCAGAAAAATGTGAAATCTTGCATGAACATGTAAGGAAACTGGTACCATTTGGTAACTCTTCTTGCTGGGTTCTGAGATCTTGTAGAACTATATTGGTGGTAGGGAGATAGCACAGGGAGATATTTTTGTGAGAGCAGGCACAGAGAAGAAGTCTTTGGAATATTGCCAAAAAGAAAGTAGCATTTTTCCACCAGAGAAGTGTTTGAATTGTTCTGCTGACATGTCTTTATTTTGTTAAACAACTCAGGTGGACCACAGGAAATAGCTGATGACAATGTAATATTAATTCTTGTGGAGGTGAACAGAACAACAAAAAAACAAAAAACCAACCAACCAAAGAAAGACTTCTGCTGCTCTTTGCTTTAAAAGATGCTTTTTAAAAATTTTTCTACAAGACACATTTAAAAATCTGTCTACAAGAATTATAAATAATTTTGTGCATTTACACTGGAAGAGCATAAAGCAAAACACATGCATCAAATATTTCTAGAGTGTTAGTTGCTACAGTTGCAGTACTAGCTAAGAAAGCAACATATTAGATTAAAAAAATCCATTAACAAAATTTACATGTGTCCATGTTGCTGGTTGCAGAAATAATATGAGTCATTTGAGCAGTCTATGTAATTCTTAAAAAGTAATGGATGTACATGTTTTTATTTTTTATGTATTGTTTTAATATTTGTTTTACTATGATACTGGACATTAATTACTTGTGTACTTCTGTAAATTCTGTTCTAAGTAGTGATTGTTGAGGATATTTTTCATATCTCATTCTGTGACTGCTAAAACAAAAAAAGATCAATGGCTTGAATTCTGCTAAAATTTATTGTGGTCTAGGGTGAGGCTTTAGTGGAGATTAAGATGTCTTAGACACCTATATGGAAGGGCTCAAGTGTCAGCTATATGTATAAACTCTTGTTCTGGACAACAATCAGTGCAATCTGTGCACCCTATCAGCGCCTTGTCAGCTGACAAACTGCTTTGCATATGTTTCAGAGTGAGATGGGTTGTTCTCTAGTCTCCATCTGAATACAGAGAAAAAATATGGCATCGTGTGAAATGTAGTCAGTTTCTGTCTTGCCATTCTCTACAGGATGAAATTCCCAGAAACTGGAAAAATATTATACTTTGATCATTAGATTCCTGACAAAAATAGTGAAAAGAATTTTCTTGAGTTTCTCCCAAAGATAAATTAGGAGTATGTAAAATTGTCATTTGCTGTGACTCATGCACATCATACAACTCTGTACTCTAAGGTGGTAACACATATTTAGCCAATTAACAGCAATCTTGGATATCTTCATATGCTATTTCTGAAAATGACTATCACTGTAATGATGTCAGTTCTTGGATCTCTTGGGCTTATTCAATACATTTAAGATATTAACAAGATTATTTGAGTTGGTAGCCTGTGATAATGGGAGACTGCATTTGTGGATGCAGAAGGTTATTCTCAATTTGGTGTCCAAGTGTCTTATTTACCTGTTCCATGTGAATAAAATACTTGCTGTAAACTTAAGTTTTTTGTTTCTTTTATAGTGATTCTATCTATCGGGGGAAAGGAAATCATCTATCCCTTATCCTAGAAATATTTGCTTCTCATAGCACTGGGTTAATCTGAAGATCAGCAGCTAATATACCACAGAACAGGTTTGAATCCAACCATCAAATAAGATCAGAAAGCAATTGCAAAGGATACCATTAAAAGTATGGTCGAACTAAGGTTACACAGGGTGGCTACTGACCCAGCTACAGAGACAGAGCCTAGACAGCTGCAGAGCAGTGGCAGCCAGCCAGCGTGCCTGAACAGATGAAGATGAGGCCAAAAGGAGGAGGACTTAAGATATTAGCTGCTCTAATATAGAACCAACAAGCTATATAAGATCCTTACATACTCAGACAAGAATTACAACACCTACTTGGAAACAAAGTCCTTGAAGCTTCTTGTGCAAGTTTTCAAATAGAATTTCTCATAGCCAAAGTATTTAAAAAATATTAGCTTTTGAGACATATTTAATTCTAAAAATTGTTTACATTAGGTACATCATAAACAATCTTTGCCCTCAAATACATCATATACTGAGTCATTAAAGAGAGACCATGACTTCACAGGCACATTTCAGTCTATGGAAAGATAATCCAGATTTTCGTTCTTTGATTGGTAATTATGATCTCTGAACCCATGTATACTGTTTCTAGTATCCCAACTAGCCCACTCTTCATGATGGTATACAATGTCTTGTGTACTTTAATTGTTCTTTGAACAAACAAAAAGTTTGAAAGCCCCATTTCTCTCTGGAAGTGCATTTTTCAGATATAATGTATAAGCTGTGTACATCTCCACTAGATGAAAAGATTATTTTTCCTATTCTATTTGTAAAGCATATTAATGATTTACGGAATAGTTGCAGACTGATGCAAAGGCCTAACAATTGAAAACCAAGCAATTAAACAGCTCAAAAAGGAAGAAAAGAGATGCAGTACAGAAAGATATATGCAGAGAACCTGTAGGTGTCTGCAACCCTCCCCATTATTCTCTGTAGGAAGTACTCAGGATTAGCTATGGATATAGATGATGTCAGAACCAGTCCTCTAAATCTTTTCAATTTTCCAGCATGAAAATCTGTTGTAGAACTGTGGTACTAGATATGAAACAAACTCTTCTTTTTTTTTTTTATTTCAATAGATTTTTTTTCATTAAATTGTAGCTTGTCCGCACTATATACTGTGTATATTTTTTCTTATTAAGCAAAAAAATCTTTCCTGATAAGGGCATCTTTTCTGTGAAAGCACCTCTTAAAATAGACTGGCTTGATTCTCTGGATAGCGCTTTGACATTGAAAAAAAACAGAAAGATGCAAACAAATCCTAGCAAGTGTGGAAGTGATGCCTGCATACTTCAGAAATGATTTGACTCATTAGTAGATTAATAGGCTGCACAGAGACCTGGATCTTTGAAGGAAGTGAGTGAATTAAGGGCAGACTTACCCTGTAGCTCTCATTAGCCTGCATATGTGGATTAGCTAGATATACAGATATTTCTGTCCCATACAAATCAGTGGAACAATGGATATAGGTTTTATATAAAATCATCACAGCCATAAAATGGAATGTACGAACATTTTACAATTACTGTAGTTAGAACGGTCAAAGCATTTAAATACAACTTTGTCAGGGTTTTTATTCTCAAGGGCCTACCTATTCAAAAATCTGAGGTAGCTGAATATCACAGAGTTAGGTTTCCTAGTATGGTTAATTTTTTTCCTCAGTAATAATTCATAAAATCATTTAACAACTTTTGTGCAAAAATATGGTTTGATGTATCTGATAGAAGCTATACCTGCTCTTGGCTGAGGGCAAAGGAATGAGTAAGATGACCTGTTATCTATGACTGCAAGCCACTGTTCCTACCCTTTATCTTTCCAACAGTGATGAGTTCTGGTGAAAGACAAAGTGAAATACAGCAGTCTCTTCCAAAGGGCTTATAGTGTTCTCTGTGTGCAGGAAGGTCAGCAAAATTCCAAACACTCCACATTAAAGAGTTCAATTGCAGGGAGGAGCCTTTGCCAGTCATGTTTTGAATTTCAGTTACTTTACATGAGATATATAACACACCAAAAGAAACTTTTGGAATGTGGTAGCTACACCAGACCTAAACATCTAGGTTACCCTTATTCTCAGTGGTTAGAAGCAGGCATCTGAAGGACACAATTTCATCAAAATGTTCTAAAAGGGGTCAGTGAAATTGTGTTCTGGAACCATTTCTTGCTATTGGCTATGAAGACAAGCCAAGGTGTTAGTACAAGTATAAACAGCTGCAGTTTAAAAATCTAAAGGTAAATGAAATTACTTAATTCCTAACTTTTCCCTTGTTTGCATATTGCCATCCTTTTTCATGGAAAAAGTGGTTAGTGGACTCAAAACAAATTTATCATGCTGCCTTTAGCTGATTTTTGACTGCTCAATAGTTCATTATATCCTCTCTGTATCCTATATACAATGACTTATCACAGAATTTTTGCTGATACTTCTGCCCTAGGTAAGCATAATATTACTTAAGCTGAAGAAACCATTGAGTTGTGCATGTGAACAGACTTTTTCCTGCAATCTCCAACACGGAACAGTGACAAGGATGGAGAAGATGTGGATTGTGATGTCTTCACTGATTTTATTTTAGATGTAGTAAGAGACATTTCAACCTGGTTCTGCCTGCCCATCAACATATGCACCTCAACATAAGGACTTAAAACTCTGTTGGTCAGTTGTTCACTATACTTAAACCACAGGTTGCTAAAGTACTCCATTTAAAAGTTGCTAATGTGCTCCATTTCAAAAGTATACTTTGAAAAGATCCTGTAATATGGATGTATTATCCAATAGAAGTGAAAAAATGTGACAATTTTGCTGAACTCGTATTTTGTATAAGTTACAATGAATCTTCCTCCAGACAGCTTGAACACCCATAAAGCTCTGCAGAAATGGGAGTTATTTACTGACAAGTCCAAAGCTATGGCTAATGAGCCCAGGCCATCAATGCAGCTACCATAGACCTGCCAGTAGCTGGCAGCTGATCTATGACATTCATGGAGAAGATATTTTTCTCCTGTGTGAAATATCTCTTTACCAAGTGTGTTCAAACTTGGCAAAGATAAAAATACTCAATGCTAAACTATTTTCTGCTATGATAGGAAATACTGTGTTTGGTAAGTTCTTTCTTCCCCATATGAGAGCTATATTCTCTGTTTCTTACAGCCCTCATCAAATACTTAGCTAACCATAGTTACAAAAATACAGTAAAAGAAGTAATATTCATTCAAAATCCTAACTACCAGTCATCTTGTAGTGATCGTTTAGAATTATCAAATAAAATAAGGCATGAGACTCAAAGGGGAGCAGATTGGATGTATATATAATGAATTCAATTTCCATTCATCTCTCAGTGAGAGTTTTTGAAGAAGAGAAAGTCGGAAAAATTACAGTCATGTTTTCAGTGAGCACAATGAGACTGTTGTTTATAAACCAGCTCTCATGTTTTGTTATCCGTATATGACTATACAGTTAATTTTTCATCTTAAAGAACTGTGTTTCTTTAGTACTTTTGTCATACATTTCTGTCACTATCCTGAACAAAAAGAGTGAAGATAGAGTGGTTTAAAAAGGTTTAAAAAAGCCCCAAACGGCTCCCCATCCAAAAAGAACCCAAACCAGAAGTTCCAATGGGGAACTCTTTATATTGGCATAATATTTGGGGTAATTTATTGGTGGTTTTCTGAGTATTTCGTTTTGATGATATTATGGTAATTATTTTTATTGTGAATGAACTCAGAAGTGCTCAGATTAGCAAATGAGTGCTTTTCTAAATCTTAATAATGAAAGATCAATACATGATTCTAAAATTACTTGTGACAAATCCCAGCAATAATAGAGGAATATAGCTTTCAATTCACTTGTGTACTTCAGTGCATTTATGTCAATGAGACTATGTTCAATTCTTCTGTGCAAAGAATTGATTTTTCAATTTACCTTCTAAATTAAGTGATAGAAATAATTTCTGGGTTTTTTTTTAGTTTAAGATCAAAGTATTTTGTGGCCCTGTATAAACAATTTTCTTGGAAGACAGATAAGAAAAGAAGAAAATGGACCAGATCCAGACAAAGCTGCTGGAGAAAGCCACGTATTTCTTTCTGTTGGAGTTTTAGAACACCTACACTGTGCATCTTAGGTTTAGTTTTCAGTTCATCTTAGGAGAATTGACTTCTAAACTTCTTTAATCCTGAATTCCAAGCTGTGAATGGTTTTGAAAAGAGGCCAATTCTAACAAAAGTAAGAGAAGTCTTATCTTCTCTCTTCTCTAGGTTACTGTCAGAATATCCATAGCCTCGGGAGAAAGTATTAATTTAACCTATGAAATAAACTGTTTCAGATTCCTACCCTCAATCAGAAAGAGAAAAATCAGAAAGAGTTCAGACAAGCACCCTAAGAGGTGGGATGTGGAGCATGTGAAGACTGGGAAATTTATAGATAGGATATCCATATGTTGGGGAAACTTCATTTTATGTAAGACTCTGAGAGAGCAATACTGACTCTGAGAGAGCAATAGCTTGATAGTACAGGGTTCAGAAAACTGTTCAAGAACCACTGGATTTAAAAACACTAATACAAAACAGCACAGTAAAAGGTAAACATGCTCTCCCATTTCTTCTTTGTACTCTGATGTTAGGATGCTAACCTAGGGTCTGGGAAAAAGCTGGGAATTTAATCACAGACTGTCAAATTTTGTATGGATGTAAGGAGCACTAGATTAAACTGGTATAATGATAGTTCTATGTTTGTATGTATGTAATGAAATTTTCAGAATTCTGGTAATGAGCACATTTGGCTTGTGCTCACATAATTTGGAAGTGACTGAAAATGCATTTTTGGAGAAATTCATGCTTTGTCAAATCATCATCAACATCGCCATCATCTCTACTCATCTCTCCTCATCTGACATCAGCCTTAGCTGCAGTCCTTTGATGAATGAAGATGGAGCAGAATTAAAAGACACCATTAGGAACACTTAGCACAATACGGATGTTTGATATGGGGCTACATTTCATTTTGCATCATACTAAATTATTGCAGTTACAGGAAAGGGCAGAAGAACTATCTAGTTTGTCAAATGCACCAAGTGTTGGAGTTACAAAATAAAATTGTTTGACTTAAGGAATTGAAAAGCATAAATGAAGATTAAGGAAAAAAAATTAAATTGCTGATGCATTGCAAATTTGGAACATGACTGTATGAACAAAGGCAATTTGCAAACACAGCAGTCACTCCCTCTATTCCTCTGCTTATGGCATTTAATGACTTCCTTGACTATTTTTGACAGCTTTTGTTTTCTTTGTCATGTATCTCAGTGTATTTTATAGACTGAACAAAGGTACGTCAATCAGAATTACAAACCATCCTATTTCGTGCCATGTTAGAACCTCCTTAGAATCTTCTTTCTCTCTGTCCCACCTTCACATACACACATACAGAAAATTAAGAATACGTGAGTTTGCATAACCTGATAGTTTAAAAGTTTGTAGATAGAATTAAATCCAAATTAGTAAGAGAAAATAAGTAATTTTCACTTATAGTATTATATAAGGTGGTTTTTGAAAGAAGAAACATGAATGATGTAAATTATATTTGTTTAAACTAAAATAATTCTTGATTATGCAGTTTCAGAGTTTCTAGGGAAGTCATTGAAGTGTCTTGCTGAGAACCTAAAATTTTTTTGAGAAGTGTGCATGCACAGTGTTATGCAAGGTTTATTTTTTATAGATCTCAGAAACAGGATTTCAAAGGCAATCAAATTCAACCTTCTGCTATTGCTGACTATGTTGTTACAATACTTTTTAAGATTTGGACATCTATATTAAAATAAACTTTTCTTCACAGAAAATATTTTCCTCCCGAAGTTCCTCACTTCAAATGGATGCATTTTAGAGCTTCTCTTATCTGATGTCATGATCTTTTTCTACTGAAATGGGGTACAGTATCAACCACATCCAAGGTTTCTGTTCACTCTCCTTATTCACATGTATATCCTTACCTTATTTTGACAATGTTTTTTAATTAAGCTCTGACTTACCTTTTTGAAGATACTTCTTTTTTTTTAAAGCTTCAAGTTGCTCCCTGTAATTAATGACATATTAGCTGTGTATTGACTAAAGAAAGGATAAAACTTACTCAAAGAACTCATGATGTAAATTTATGAGTGAAATATTTCCTTCACTGCACTATGTCGTTAAATATATCCACTAAGAAGTATAAGAATTTTCATTAATTTATGGAGTTTACCCTGGTTCTTGATTGAGACCATTCACAACAGTAGGCAACCACTGATTTAACAATAGTTTCGGGGTGAGTCATTCACAGAACTATTTTTGAAGCACATCATAAAAATTATGCCAAAAACGAGTAGTTGTTCCCTCCAAAGTTAGTAATCTTTTACTGCATCTGCAGAGGCCAGGCAAATTCTCTCCCAGCATTTTTTTTTCCCTTCAACATCCTACACAAGCTGAGAATCTAATTAACTCCTTCAGCACTGAATTCTCTATTCCCTGCAGCTATTCTAATTCAGATAGTAGCCTTTATATCATTTTGATGGAGCGATGTCTTTCGCTAAGACCTTTAAAAGTGATTTTCCATGATGCACTTAGATTAAATTTTTGGTTGTCTTCTTTCCATACCTGAAACAGATCAAAATATCTATATCTCGGAAAACATATACTCTTCTGCTACTTCTGAACCTGGAGATGTCTGTATGTAGTTAGCCCCTCTTTGTCCATCTAAAGCTTTGTAGGAACATATACGATTGCAGAATTATTTTGTCTTGAAAAGCATTGCCTACTCTAAATATGAACTCCACTATGATTTAGAAATCGAAAGACTGTTTCCCAAAGGATCCAATCTAGTAACTTCTTGTTGGATGGTCTCAGGAACTGTCAACAGTGTTCAATCTACGGCAAGCTACAGCTGCTTCCTTCAGAAACCATGGCTTGGAAAAGAGATGAGATTACTGGGGTGCATGCTGATGGAAGGCAATATACATGGGTTTAATTATCACTCCCTAGATAATTTATGTACATTAAACTTAGTTTAGGATTGAAACAAAATAATAATGGTAACAACAACGTTATTCACCCAATATGGAGCCCATCTGAAACTAATATTTCTTGCTGAGTGCTTTGAGTATCACTGTCAGCCCCAACCTAAGCAACAGCCGTATTGTGAGGGAATTTGCTTGAGATATGAAAACTATGGATTTAAGCTTGTTGGAGTTGAAGGGAAAGAAGTAATTCTCTGCAACGTATTTATATAGTGAGCTACATTCTAAGGGTAGGTAGCATCAGATGTGCCTTAAAAAAGTTGACCCTGTTTGTTTACATGTTTATCCTGAGAAAATGATTTAGCACGAGTCCAAAATTTTCAGTGCAGTCTCTTTAGAGTAGAACAAAAAAATTAAAAACAACCAACCCCCCCCCCACACACACAACCCCCCCCCCAAAAAAAAACCAAAACAAACCAAGAAAAACAAACAGACAAAAAACCCACAAAAAAACCCCAAAAACCCAAACTAAACAAAAAACAAACAAACCAACCAAAAAACCCTGATTGGTCAAACCCTTCCTATAAACTCTTTATTTTCTTCCATGCTCAGAATGTGTGACCCATAAATTGCTAAACCTTGGCAAATTCAATGACTTTCTGTATCACCAGTAGCATTGACCTGCATCTTCACCCTGCAACAACTGGTGACACCTGTACTTGTAAACAGGGAGCACACTTCGGCTGACACAGACTGGCCACAGCCACATAATATTATTGGCCTTGGGACTGTGCCTGGGAGAGTCTACTTTGATCCAGAGATACAGTAATGTCTTGTCATTTTCTTTATTTTTCAGTTAATGTGTTTGAAATAGTGAAAGAATGTTGCAGCCCAGAATGTTGTTTTCAGATCATGTTACTGAGGGCATTTGTTGTAGGTTCTGGGTTGACATAGACAGGGCTTATGGGTGTATTCAAAGTGCAAGACTTGCTTTCCAGCTAGAGTTGGTAATAGGTTAGTAAGCGATAGCAGGGTAGAGAAAGCTCTGGGTGGGGGAGTGGCTCTTGGTTCTTGCAATGCCATGCATTTTCCAGGAGAGTGTTAGATGGTACAGGTGAAAACCACACCAGAGAGTATGTTAATTATTAAGCAGTATGAATAGTTGAGTTCAGGATTTGAGCTTGCTCTCTAGTCCTATTTTACTTAGCACTGTAGACATAGACAAATGAGATAAGGTTTTACTGCTGGGGTCATTTTCCCCTAATCTAAAAAAATGTTTGAACATGAGTAGGCAAGGAGACAGAAGCAGATAACATCAGGCATCAGGCTGGTTTCAATAACAAGGATTGGACAAAGGTAGCACAAAATTCTTGGTTTTCCCCTTCACAGCTGACATAAACTCTGCTTTTACCCTCTGCTACATACATGTTTAGTGGATTTTGTTAGAAGGGAAATGATGCAGGGACACCAGAGCAGAAATGGAAAGTAAAAGAGGAAACCAGATCACAGAAGAACTATGAATATATTATAAAGAAAGAATTATGAATGTGTCATAAAACCATAACTATGGAAATGGGTAAAGAGGAGTCTTAAACAGGACATTCATAACTACAACAGTTTGCAATGACACCTTCATCCTAGTCCCACAATAGATCTTTGGAAGGACTATTGACTTCACTCCTATAGTATCACATTTTATTCAGTTGTTTGTTTTAAATAGAAGATCCAAGTAATAGATTAGTCTGGAGATATGTCAGTAAAACAGAAAGACATCTTGATTTTTAAAAAGGAAATTATACATCTTTGGCCAACCCTGGTATCCAAATCAATTAGTCTTAAAAATTATTAAAGTATTTTTAGGTATTAGTATTATTAAGTATTAGTATTATTAAACCTTTGAAACATCTTAAGACAGTATGTCCATAAAGTATAATAAAATAAGAACTATGCAGGGCCATCTAAAATATAAACTGGAAATATGACATTTTACTTGCTCCTTTATGGATTTTTATATTATCACTTTATTCTAAGTGATGACTTTGTAGATTTTCAAATTATTCTTATTCTTAACGTTACTATAACTTGTGTATCTTTGGTTGAAAATTTTTGTAGTGAATTCATTAACAGCAACCAAAATGACAAGATACATTGCAACTGGCAAACTTATGAAACAAATAATGTGATACAAAAGAAAAATAAAATAATTCTATTGTGTTAATTGCACTTAATTATAATCATATTACAATTCAGTCTTAATAGTGTTATTAAAATGCGGAACACTGTTGTTGCTTCTTGAGAAAAAATCTCTTTTCATATAATTTTCCTCACAACACTCCATGCTGTTGGTTTTGTTTGTTATTTGTTTAAAGGAATGTTAAATCACTTTTAAAAACATTATAGGTGATCATCAGTTGCATGATTATACTATTTATTTCAATAAGACAAATTTATTGCTGAGACTACGTCCTCAAGCATGTGCATAGAAATGTGGATCTGTAAAGGGCTGAACTGGCAGATCATTCTCCACGCAGTGCTTTTACCTTTCAGTTCCAGTACGATTTTTGAGAGTTAGTGTGAGAGGTCTTCACAGAATAATGGCCTGAAGTGAAGAAATGCTGATCAAGCCTTTTGTCATTGAAAAGTAAATCATCACCCCGCTGTTTTTAAAATCTCATGGACATGGCTTTATGGTGTGACTCTGAGAAATATTATTTCTAATTTTTCAAGGGGATAAGCAAATCTGTGAGAAGTGTTTACTGAGAAATCAAGAACCCAAGGTGGGAAGGAGGGATATGATATAATTTTAACACATTTTATTCCTTTGACTATCCCCACACTATAACTCTCTCTCACTTCTGGCAGGAGCACTAGCCTGTTATTTTTTAGTGCATTGACAGCCATATAAAGATGCAGAGGTACTGAATTAACTACATTATTTACTAGCAAAGATGACAGTGGGAAAAGCTTGAATGACAGCTCTATGCTCTGCAGTACCATCTAAAGATGAAGATCTGAGAACAAATCTATCATAAAGGCTTTGTACCATAAGGACACCTCTTTCAAAATATAGCCCAAAGGACTACAGTCATATACTGATGAACCTGAGAAATCCAGGTCTCCTTCATGAGTAGGAGAAAAGATGCTGTACTTCTTCTTCCAACAGCAAATTACAAGCACACATCCCAATAAACTTGACTTAAGTATAGTGTCTTGCTTAAGAAGATCTCTAAAATTCACAGATAAGATGATGATGATCAACCTTAGCCACCCAGTCAAGTAATTTATTGAAAACATGGATTTTGTGTTACTGTCTTGTGAGTTGCTGCCTTGGAGACCCTAAATCCTGAGGAAACATAATTTATATTAATTCCCTCACCCTTGTGCAGTTCTCCATTCAACGGAGACAAATATTGGCCCTACATGACTATAGAACCACCTTTTACTCTTATATAAGAGAAATTCATCTTGAAACTAAACAACTTGCTGCCAAAGTTGTTTTTTTTTTTTCTTTTTTGCTGGGCTTATGTGATATTTTCAGATAGCAAGAGAGACTAGTTTGTACTGTAATCAGGCATTCTCCACAGGTGGTATTATTTGCCACTAAAGCTGGGAAAACCTTCCTCTGTCCTTGCCTCTTTAAAGAGAGGGAGGATGTTCAGATGAAATATACAGATATCATTGTGAGTGAAGCAAGAAGGCCAAAATGCACTCACAAGGACTGGAAGGGATTGCTGTAAGACTTGGTGCTGACATTTGCTTTGCATTAATCCTCTTCATCAAGAAAAGAATACTCTTCACACAACAGATATATTCAAGGTGTTGGTGAGACTATGAATCTTTTGTCAGAAGTGTGAATAATTTTTTAGAGGAGAGAGAAAAAGCAGATTAATAAAAAGGAAAGAAACAGCTGAATATCAGAGAGATGTTTCTCTGAGTGGCAGAGAGCCACATTCAAACTCTGACTCTGTCTGATTCAAAGCAGAAATTAAAACACTGGTCTCATTCTGCATTTAAGAGCAGAAATCCCATTTTTGAGAAACACCAATGAAGAGAAATTGTTATTTTGTGTAATTGTGTAAACAAAACTAATTATGCTGTGGACTAGTTATGCTGTAGGTGAGTTTGTCCCAGAGTTTTATTTAAGTAACTGCCACATTTCCAAGTAACTGGGAATGAATATCTGACTGCAGATATTTTCCTTGATGACGTGTCTCATTCTGAATTTGCAAGTAATTGTGGTAAAATTACTGTCATTTTTCCTATTGATGTGTATACCCACAGTATTCATTTGATAGCTAATATATCACCTGAACTATCTATGACACATCACAGGGTTGTTAATGGTCATACCCAAGGAGAACATTTGAATGGATGACTCTCATTAAAAAAAGTAGTGGCCCTCTTCAGAAGTTTAAGGCAAAGCTTTTGTTTGTTTCCTGGGTGAGAAAACTACATTCTACAAATAGTCTTTATCTTTCTCCTCTTGGATAATAAATTTACCACTATCTTCTAGAATCTCATTATTTTTTAATTTAAATTTGAATTTCATCTTAAAGGAAAAAATGTACAGGTTCAGTAACAAATGAACCCACATTTATGAAATAAATTTTGAAAACTACAGAAACAGTAATTTATAAAAAAAGGACCTAGTTTTTCTGATTAACAAGTTAACAATATCTATTAGCAATATATTATAAATTATATATTATAAAAGTGGTGAATGCAAAGCTTCATACTAAGCAGTATATTTTATGACACAGCTTTTTGTTAGCAAATTTTTAGCATGATAATGGAACTTGTAATAATATAAATTATTATACCAGATGGATAATTAAAGAAATAAAAATACCAAGGAATCGGTCCTTGGCTAGACAAATCTATGAACTAATTGTTTCCATAGTGCTGAATTTGAATAAGCAATTCCATAACCATTTTTTCTTTCTGTTTGTGAATTATTTCTGCACTCTAAAAACTCAGAGGAACATCATGTAAAAAGAAAAAAACTCAGACAAAATGCCTCTGAAGCTTATTCTGAGCACCTGCAGAACGACGTAGGTGAATGAATGTTAAAAACTACAGATCAAACTCGACACTGATAATTGCACATAAATGCACGTAGAAAAAAAACAGTCTAAGCTATAGATACAGTGACATGCATCAGTGTAACTGTTTCCACTTGAAAACAGATCTTGGGAGGCTTTTTCATTAATTCTCTGACAATCTCAGTTTGAGTAGAACGAAGAAGAAAATATAAATATCCCAATTTGTAAAAGTGGTATTTGCAAATAGTAAATATTTCATTAATTTCTGAAAATGCAAACACATAAAATCCTCCAAACCTGTAAAAAACATGGAGAATGGTGAGGTAAAAAATTACTTAGGATAAGTGAAAAATAAAATAAAGATTTTTGGTGTTTCAAATTCCAATTATTTCCCTTCAGATATATAATTTCTAGACCATGTGCTTGTTACATTTCTTTATCAAAAGGACAAATAATTTAGTCTATTCCATGACCCTCTTTAGGATTTTATGTGGTTTTTCCTAAATTAAGTGTTTGAAAACTAGGCAATAAAGTCTTAGCTATCCAGTTGTCTAATCAACAGAGGAAAATAGACACTACAGAAAAGTTTCAGCTTACCTTAACATAGTAATCCAAAATTGTTCCAATGAATTACCCTTGAGGCATCTAGTTCCATCGATCAATTCCAAAGGTGGTTTGACATGTCCAACTCACACACAATAATGTGCTACTGGTATTTCTGCTATATATATTTCTGCCTCCTCTTTGGTCTCCAACACTATCATGAAGAAATCCTCTATAATGATGAAAGGTTGATCAGTTTTCACTTTACTTCTCAGATGGCTAACTTGTCACCAACTGTTGGGCATTATTTTATTATACAAACCTTTAACAGACAAGAAATCAACTACATTAAAAACCTGGAAAAAAAAATCAGTAGGGGCTGCAAAACTACTTCTAGAACTCATTTGCACTAGCAATGGAGAGAAGAGAGTTTGCATATTGTATCCACTGGTTACCTCTCCACAATGTATGCTTATTTCAAAGCTTCTGTTGTTTCAAGAGATGTTAATAATTACAAGGGAAAAGACATTTTCAGTAGAATATGATGATTTGCATGGAATGGGAAGACATGAAGTAGTAATAATGTCTAACAGGTCATGAGTTAATGAAATAGTTTTTCAGTTTCCTACCTTTGAAAAAAATCAGAGTGCTTAAATCTGAGTGAAAAGATTCAGTTGTGAAGATTGTAGCGAAAATATCACACTGCATATGTGCATAAGATTTTGCTACATGATCTTATGAGTTTAAGGTTGCAGTATTTCCAGTTTTTTTGTTACCTGAGAAATTAATTTATAGCACAGTTTGTTCTTGACACTACTAACCCATTTTAAGCACATCAGATTTGTCCTTCAGACAATGCATAACCTTTCTGTCATTTTCTGGGATGATTTAATAAAATTGTTGTTGGCTTTCACATGCTTAATAGTCTGGAACATTTTTGTATTAACAGTTTGCATATTCCTAATAAAAACACTGTGAGATATTTCACTTTCAGCTATTTGCCAGTTATAAATATCAACTCACAACATTTGGACAGAAAAGCATTTTTTTCCATGTGCCCTTATCACAAGTTTTTACTTCTTGCCATTTTTAGCTTAGCATTGAAGTTGATGTGAAATGAGGTACATAAATATATGTTTTATTGTATATTTGTGCACAAGGCAGTAAGGTTGCAACCATGAACCTTCTACTTTTAGTAGGATAATTTCAACTTAAAAATGCAGGAGTTTGATCAGGTCCAGTGAAAGCACAGTCTTATGTTAAAGGAGAAAAACAAAAGAATCAGGACTAAGTGCAGATTTTGATATAGAAGACTATTCGGTAGATTTAGTGAACATTATCCTTTTTATTCATAAGCAGTGAATGTAAAACTCATTTTATATTAAGCCATTATTATTATCTATATCTAGCATGAACTGTGGAAAATGTATAGTGATTTGTAGTTTACAGAAGTTATGTTTGTGTTAGAATTAGAAATATGAAATATATAGTAATTTCACTCTTGGGACTGTCCCTCTTTTTATGGCAACTATTATACTTGTGTTTTATTACGTTAGAAATATTATCTTTCATCTTAACAAATGTCTTGCATTTTTACTTTCTAATGAGACAAAATGCCTTCCACAGCAAATTTGGTTGTGAATTTTGTCAGTAGAAACCTGCCGTATTTAATATTGTTCTTTTCTGGACTTCTCTGTGTTATGGTTATTACAGCATGTAACTTTTTCTGTGATACTATTGGTACAGTGTCAGTATATACATATGACATCAACACTGGAGTGTTGATGTTTCTCTCTTTCAAGAAGTTAGTGAACTGTTATGAACTCAGAACTAAATTTCTGGGCAGTAAGTGGAACAGAAGAGTATCCTTCCGAGAGAATAGTTTATTGAATTCAAATCAATCAAAAATAATTCAAAATAGCATACGTTCCAGATATTCCCCCATGAAAATATTTTCCTTTTCTGAAATGAGACCTGTTCATGCTCCATTTACTAATATTTTTTAACTTTACTTTTTTTTTAAACCTACTATTCTCTCAAATTAATACCCCAAACATGCAACAGCTGTACAATCAGAAAGTCATGTGTCCATGTCTCCTATTGAAAATAATTTTTCCACATACATATATATATAAATAGTAACTGAAGAAGAGATTTCAGCCTTACTAGGATCCTCTACAGAAGCAAATTGTAGTTTCAGAACAGTTAGTTTCCTTACCTCAACCAAGGATATTTACTCATTTATATGAAGAGAGGCATCTGCACAGAGATATTATTGTTTAAGACAATCACCTGGCATGTACAAAGGGCAGATGAGTTCGGAAAACTCTCCACATATTTGAAAAATTACAGACTTCTGTATGATCCCTTTCAGGCTGATAAGCCACAATCTCCCAGTGTTCAATACTTTGTCAAGAGGCTATATCATGGCTGGGTGCAGCCAAAGTCATGCTGAAAGCATGGAAAATAACCTATGTATCTTACAAATGTACAATGTTACTGAATACTGAAAAATGTGGTAAATGGTTGAGGAGGAGGTAATAATTTAGTTCTGGTTAGAAGAACAAATTAACTGAGAGTTGGCACATAACTTATTAAGAAAGATTTATAAGATTTCATTAGATTGGACCTACCAAGGTCAAGAAAGACTCTTGTACTGAACATAAAATGAAGGGTGGCATAGGTTATGCTCTTTCCTCGTCTTATACGTTCAGATTGCTTAAACCTTTTCTTTTCATGCCCATGTCACCTATGCATGGTCACCATTCTTCAACTTCCTTTCATGCAAATTAGCTTAACATCCCCATGAAAAAAACAAACAAAACAAACCAAAACAGTTTTCTCCCTAGTCCTTTGTTAAACAGACAATTATCCTTAAAAATTGAATTATTATAATTTTTTTCTATCCTTTACAGATTGCTTCATCTCTACAACATAACAATGGCCATGAACAAAGACTGGTTCATAGGTGTTCTTTTCTGCTTCCAAGGAAAAGGATGGGCAAAGGAGGAGCATAATTTGCATTGCCTTTCTTCAGAAGGGAGTTTACAGCTCTAGTCTTGAGTTAAACAGCCATTTATGCTGAAGAACATGTAGCCCAGAGCTCTGCCTGTCATCTTTGTGTATGTGTGTATCTGTGTATGTGTGTATGCCTGTGTGCCTGTGTGTGCCAAAAGAATAGTGCCTGCTTTGAAAACCTTTGCTTCTGTCACATATTTCCTAAATTGGACACACAGGTAGTCTCAATAAAAAATAACAGCTATCTTAGAAATATTCAGTTGCCTAGATTTTGATAAAGTACAATATCAATTCAAGAATTTTTCTTCTGTTCTTCTGAAAAGCTATTAACAAAATTGAAAGTGAAAAATGAGTCTGTGAGGTCAGACTTGCTCCTAAATACAATTTACTCTTACCATTCTGGTATTACTGTTATGGCTATTATGACATTTCTATGAATAAAAAATTTATATTATAAGAAGATCTGTTTTCATTCCAAGTGATGCTTTTTCATTTTTCCCTAGAAATATTCAACTAGAATGTTATTTACAATAATTACCTGGTTTTTATGTTGCAATGGGTTTTTTTCTGTTAGACACTCTCATACACACATTCATACATATATAAGCATTCATATATATATCCATATATATTTTTATATTGTTTTGAATCTGCAAATTTGAATTAGGAAATCATATAACTGCTGCAAACAGAGCAAGCAATTCTTGTTTCATCAAAAAAGACTCAATATACAAACTATGATAATTATAATAACATTTCTTTACAGTGAAAAGATTAACATTTCAAATATTATGTTATGGTGACAAGATCCCCTTTGCAATGTGCCTTTATATACTTCTTCTATCTTTCAGAACCTCACTTTTCTGTAAAAATGCTGTCAAAGAAACGAATGTAGTATGTTTTCAAGTAACCCTGCAATCATTATGTATAGAGCTTAGAAGCAGACCAGAGAACTATAGAAGTAAAAGAGAAAGGAAATCCTTATGTTCTTTCCACATATGAGGCTCTAGGAAGCACATGATTGAATAAAGAATTGAACTGCAGTGATTAGATGTCAATGAGTTACTGCAGATGAGCAGAATTTCTGTAAACCAACAAGACAGTCAATCAGTTTAAGCTTGCAGGTGTAATCTCAGAGGATAAACTGTACCTCATAGAAGATTTAACCTTCTGCCATCATGACAGTAATTCACTGGTTTATAGTTCTAGATGGTGAATGCCATAATCTTATGAAGATTACATGGAATTGCAAAATTTCACAGCAACTGGGTTTGGTTTTCTTTCTCTCTCTCTCTCTCTTTCTTTCTTTCTTTTTCTTCCCCATAGGAAAACATTGCATTTTACAGGACAAACATTAAGTGCTTACGTAGTCTAATAAATAGTTTACAGGGAAAATATTAAATCAGTTTTCCATTGAGATGGTCTGGGATAGTTAGAAGACATTTACACTTGTAGCATCCTCTTTCTTTGGTGAGTGGAAAGGACTTCATTAGATACAATGTCTGAAGAAAAACTATAGAGATGTCATTAGATACAGTATCTGGAGAAAAACAGTATCTGGTATCTAGAGGAATGTCACAGTAGGGAAAGATTTGAGGAATGCAATGATCAAGGCAATCAGGATTAGCAGGATAGCGGCTGCATAGAGCAATACATTTTGCTGAGGTTTTTCTCAGTTGAAGAACTCCCTCAAGAAACTCAAAGTATGGCTATAAGTCATTCATGAATCAACATTTACATTCAATACCCTTACCTGAGGCAAGGGTGCAAACCAGAAAACAAGACTGTCCAAAATGTGTGCATCATAGTAATTGAAGGAGGTGGCCAATGGTTTTGTTTGAACCCTACACTTTGAACTGGAAGATTCCTTGATCCTGGCTCGTAGAACTTGGATTAATAACAACGAAATATTAATGGTATGTCTGCCATTATAATCCAACATGATAAAAATAGGGGAAATATTGTTAAAGTTTATGACTTGACAGTTTCCAATTAACAGTTGATTATTTTGTTTTAAAAAAAATCTGGGGAATAAAAAAACTAAGCTTGCAAGCTTTTAAAATGCATTTAAAAGCACTACATCATGTTGCAGGATGCTCCAGGCTACCTTTACGTACAGAGAAAAGTGTGATTAATTGTCCAGAGAGAGAGTGAAAGTTATTACAGTGGTTGGTTTGTGTGAGCAGTTTCCATCATTCTCCAACTATGTCTTGGTCCAAGTTGAATTTCAGCAATATGAAGTTTGGATTAAGTTTCATCCCAAGGTCCTGGAAACTAAACCCTTGTTTACTTGATAGTACAGTTGTCATTAGAGAGACTGAAACCATCCTCATGGAGTGATGAACCATGCAGGAATGTTGTGCATCCCAGATGGAAAGGTGGGATTGACCAACCAGAGGCCTCCTCTCAATACCCCTTCTTAGGGGATTTGTAGTTGTCTGATAGTCTTGTGGAATTTAGCTCTGCAAACACCAGGTGATGCATCTGTAGACATATAATGCAACTTCTGTTATATGATGAGGTGCATCAGTAAAAGGAAGGACTATGAGAATGTCAATCAGTCATCAAGTCAACAAAATTATACTGGGTAAGGGGTGGGGAGCATCTCAAACTAATAGGAGAAATCAAAGATCTTTTCTGTGGAGGTAGAGAGTTCTAAAGTCTCTACTACTGATGTATTTTCTTGACTACTAAGTTGATACCTTAGATGATCAAGATAGCTGAGCTGCATAAATGTGTAAATTACTAGAATGAGTGGAGAATAAGGGTCAATATTAACAGCAGATATTGCAAGAGCGAAAGAATACCTCTGAAAGAATATTTTTGTGTTTTATAAATATATAAAAAGAATAAAAGCTAAAAAGAAGGAACTATTAAGTATTAATCTTAAAGGATAGTGTTGTCATAAGATCAAATTATTATATATTTACCATGAGTATATTTAGGCTGGAAAATTAGAAACTGTGTTTATAAAGAAGAAAGAAACTTCATTAGACTGGTAAGTTGACTGTAGTTAAAAGTTTATTTGTATTCTTTGTATCTTTCACTAGTTTTCAGTGATGCTTCCAACAAATGCCCCATATATAAGAAGACTTTTGATATTTATTGCAAAGACTAGGTTTTGAAAAAGAAAAAAGGAAATATGATGATATTTTCCCTTTGATGGACCATGAAGTGTTGCCTCCTAGAGCATGTGCACATTGTCAAACAGTAGACCTACTGCAATAATTTTAGAATATTTAGTCTGTAACTACTTAATTCAGCAGCGATCATACTAGATCAACATAGTACAAGAGACTGGGTTGACAAGATAGGAATGAAAGAGAAACTGGACAAAGGTTGCATGTGGATTTGAGTGGCAAGAGTAATAGAAGCTTTGAGTTTTTGTCAGGTCAGAACCTTTGACAGCATGAAACTTACTTATCCCTTCAGTATTGTACTACCTGCATCTTTTTAATCACTTGCAGTTCCTGTAAATCAGTGTTTTTCATACATCTATATGAAAAAAAACAGATAATGGATAAATAGAAACATTGTGAATAAAGTAAGGATGTTTGCCAAGCCTACTTTCATAGTTTTCCCTGGGTTCTTTGCTCAGTTTAATTACTAGAAGCACAATTCATCTGATATTTTAGGAGAAACTTAATATAATATTTTGCACTTTTTTTTCCTGTTTTTACGTCTAAATGTAATCAGACATGACTGAGGACCTGTTTGCTAGTGCCACTGGAAACATGTTGTAGAGCCTCCATAAAGATGCTTTCTCCCCTGAGGATACTTTGATAGATTTATATGCATGATGCAATGTCATGAAGGGATAACCAAGTGTGTTGTGAAAGACCTAGTTTGGTTACTTGCTTATCTTGCTGCTTGCACGTCAATGCACCTGCCATTGCAGTACAAGGTTTCACATGTTATATTCTGTTGTATTTTGACCAAAAAATTCAGGTGGATGCATTGTAACACTGAGGTCCACAATTTAGGAAAATACTGTTCTACTAGGGTCTCAGGTAGTATTTTTGACTATTTTTGGAGATTTTGATTTATGCAAAAAATGCACTTGTAACACCTTAAAAATTAAAAGGCAACTCCTGAAACACAGATAAAAGCTGACTCTGAGATAGAAGATCTAGACAATGAGACTGTAAAATACTTCCAAGAGTTCTGTTCTGATATCTGCATCAAAGATCCCTTGACTTCAAGCAAAAAGAACATTCTATAAGTGAGGTCTTTTGGACAAACTGTGGAGTCCCATATTTTTTCCATCTGATCTTTGTAGTGCAAAAGATAGGTTAGTGTTATTTGGGAATTTAGATAAAGGTTATATATTGAAAGTTAATCCTCTTGCATATTTTTCCTGAATCTGTTAACAAATGTCTGTATAATCTATGCCACTGGAATAAAGGTGATTTCTATGACACATCCCTTCAGATACTATTCTCCAAATTTCCCATTACTGTACATCAGTATCTTGTAAGCATCCAGATGTAATAGAAAGATGAGCATAAATTATTATGAAATTTATCAATAGGAGTATTGGGCAATGACTAGAAATCTGAAATCTACTCACAGTTCTGCTCATTGCTTTTTACAACTCTCTGCCCCATCTTCCTTTCTTCATAAAGTTAAAATAACAATCTATTTCTATTGTAAAGCTGTGGTGAGATTTCCCTACGGAGACCTTTATCTGAATAATGGGAAGGATGGCAATGGTTACCTAACCACATTTCTGTTGCAGACACATTTATATGCAGGTACAACTTCAATTATTTGCAATAGGTGCCATGTTTGTCTTCTAAAAAGACATTGCTTTTTTAATTCCGTGCACATTTCTCTGACAAAAGAATGTTTCATTAAATCTGAGTTAAGGTTGTCCATAGGTTTGTGCCCTACCTACGGATTAGGGTCAGTGAAATGTAACATTTTAAAATCAATATTCTGAATCATAGGACATGAAACTGTTAATCTGCCACCTTTGAGCAATGTCCTTAAAAGTCCACAATATACAGATTCACACTTAGTCTTTGCCAACAAGGTCATGTTTGAGAGGAAAGAGAATGATATCTAACACTTTTTTTTACCTTTTCAAAGGTAAAGGTGTGGCTAGATGAACTACTGTGAGTTGAAGGTATCCCCATGTGGGTTACAGCTAGGAAGTAACTCCAAATGTACAATGATTTACAATCGCTTTATATATTTCTGTAAATTAAGTTGACTTTTTTTTCTGCAGGATTTTTGCTTTCACAGCACTGAAAAATCTATTACAAGAGATGACTTGAATTTCTTTATACTGGTATTGGATTAAGACACATATGCATATCTCTTTCCTTGAATAAACTCAGTAGACACTCAGATCCAGCTCTCCTTACACTGCCAAGCTTCTTTGACTAATCCTTTCACCATTCAATATCACTGCACTTAGCACAG